CGTGTGAGGGAGGTGTTCGGCTCGGGCACGGCCTGCGTGGTGTGTCCAGTGGGCAGCCTGCTGTACAAGGGGGAGGTCAGTCGAGTGCCGGTCCGTCTTCAGTCTGTGCGTCTGTGTCCGGGCTTGTGCATTGGTGCGGGTCCGAGTTGGCGTCTGTGTGTTTGACATTTGTGTCTATGTGCATGTGCATCTATCCGTGTTTCTGAGTCTGCACATCTAGGCAGGCGAGTTTGTGCGTCTGTCCGTGTGTTTTTGAGTCAGTGCGCGTGTCTTAGTTTGTGTATGTCTATGTTTGTGCACGTGCAAGTGATAGTTTGTGCATCAGTGGGTGTCAAAGATTGCTTGTGTGTCAGTGTGTGTCGGCGTGTGAGGGTTTGTGCGTCAGTGTGTGTCGGCGTGTGAGTTTGTGCGTCAGTGTGTGTCGGCGCGTGAGAGTTTGTGCGTCAGTGTGTGACGGCGTGTGAGAGTTTGTGCGTCAGTGTGTGTCGGCGTGTGAGAGTTTGCGCGTCAGCGTGTGTCGGCGTGTGAGAGTTTGCGCGTCAGCGTGTGTCGGCGTGTGAGAGTTTGCGCGTCAGTGTGCGACAGCGTGTGGCTCTGTTCTCTGTCTTGACTGCCTCTGTGTGTGTTGCTCTGCCTCCGCCCTCGGTGTGCCAGCCGGTCTGACTCGGTCTGTTTCGGTACCTGGCTGGAGATGTGGGTCCGCTCCTGGAGAACGTGTCTCACTCTGCCTGTGAAACTCTCTCTCTCTCTCCGTCAGACCTACCGGATTCCCACAATGGAGCACGGCCCCGATTTAGCACAGAGGTTCCTGCAGGAGCTCACTGACATACAGGTGAGTGTCCCCCAGCAGCTGCATGGAGCTCCTCAGAGCTGTGACAGGCGCCTGCAGTTCCCCTTCTCCGCCTCTGCGCAGGAAGGGGGCGCCGTTTCGAAACGAGCCTGTGCCATCCTTCTCCACGTCTTCCCCTCCCCCACCCTTCTTCCACGTCTCCACCCTGCCACCCGGGGCTCATAAAGATTCTCTCTGTCTCCCTCCCTCCTTCCCCACCCACAGTACGGACGCAGAGAGAGCGAGTGGGCCCCTCTGGTCGTCTGATTGGCCGCAGCGGCTGCCCGTCACCGAGGAGATGGCGAATCAGAGAGAAGGAGTGGGCGTGGCGGGGAGCGCGCCCTCCCCGAACGGCCGGCCCCTCTGTGCTGATTGGGTGTGCTGGTTGGTGGGCGTGTCCCCGCGCCTCGCTCTAGAAAGGATAAATGGTTTCTGGTTCTTTTGTGTGTCTAATCCTTTATATACACTATGAATGTATTATCAGTTCTCGCCCTAGGTCTTATAGAGCTTGTTTTTAATGGGTCTTGTGGTTCTTTCTGGCTTGGCTCTGTCTAAGGTTTTGTTTTTATAAATCCAGTTGTGGCTGAAATGCGAGACCCCCGAATCCCGAACGGGAGAATCCGCCGGAATGATCCGGGAATTCCCGCGGATTCCTGGACCCTGGGCGCGGTGAGGAGGGCTGTTAGTCACTGCAATGAGGGGGCGTTCGGTCGGCTCCGAAAGGTGGGGTTCCTGGCGCCCCGACACCTTTTAACGCACAGTCCCTGTGGGGTTTTTAGGATGAGTGGGAGGGTCGCTCGTGCTGGGGTTCTCTGTATGTGTCCCCGCGCTGTCTGAAGCACTTCGAATAAACACTCCTGCACTTATTTTTAACTTCCTGATGCCGTAGATATCTGCCAGTCTTTCAGCTGCTTGCTTCCCGGTGGCTATTTCTCTGTCTGTACCTCTGAATGTGCGCAGTTGTCATCCTCGGAGCTGTGGAGGAGCTGGGAATAAACTCAGTCCAGCTCATCTGTATC